GGGCAGAGCCCAGAGCCTCGAGCAAACCCTTCAAACAAGAAATCTCGTGTTCTTCTATTACTTCAAGCATGTTCTTTTATTAAGTTGTTCATTTATTTTACATCCCAGCCACAGTTTCCCCTCCCTCCTCCCTTTCCCTTCAACCATGTTCCTTAGCATTATCCAACTCTTTTGTATTCTATACTTTTTCTCATTCTTTGTCAAGCAGTTGCTTTTACCATTAATCTTATCCCATAAAGTAAATGTTCATCCTGCTAACATCCATGTGAGGGAGGCTAGGAGCACACGCTCCAGTTCTAAACAAGTCTTCAATGACTTCAGTTAAGACTTCTCAGGCTGCCTGCTTAACTATAAACTCATCAAAGTCCAGGTCTTGGAACTCCAACTAAGAGGCTTCTGAATTCTACCCTCAAGTAGTTAAGTTTAGGGCAAGTGTGTTACAAATAGATAACTAACACAGTCACACATGCATACAGATGAGCAGTATAAACCAATGCATTCAAAAACAGTTAAATTTCATACTCTTAAAAAATGACTTCCATAACATATTGGTGACACAACACTAGTAGCATGCTTTTCATGTTGCGAGGGATGCAGATGCTGGAAAGTAGAGCTGGCCCTTGGTAGATGTAGAGTGAATAATTGCTATGATTTCTGAAATTACTAAAGCTCTTCTTGGCAAAACTTACCCCCACTAAAAAAAGAGCCCCACCAAAAATATTTTATTCATCACTTTGAATGGCTATTTGCAGAGCTTATAAAACACTGTGCTTAACATTCTTTCTATTGAATAAAATTTGTCTTAGCCATACACACTCCTTAAAAAGAGCTTTAAAAAGAGCTTCAAGTTGCTCAAGGACAAAATTTCTTCTATTTGCCACCAAGGATGTGATGGGCAATGCTCTTTGCATAAAAAGTTATTTCTGAGTGTGTTGGTGGTAGGAGCGAGGACTTTTTCTTCATCACTAACTTCTATTAATACCTTTTTGTTCTATGAGGATGAAAAATGTAAGGTCTATAAATGATGTATAAAGAACAAATTTTCCAACTTCTCTTTCTCAATCTTTGAGTTAAAGTTTACACCAAATTCTAGTAACATCTTGTTTTATAGTGACATTTTCCCAGGGGAAAAAATATGATTTTTGTAACAGATCTGTATAAGGTGCAAATGTTAACTACTATTTCAATGTTGTTAGTTACTAATAAAACTGATACTGAATCTCAGTGACCACCCCACCCCCCCCTCCGCCACCCAAAACCATCCCTAAACTGACCTAAGATACTGAATTGGCAACTACACGAAGTTCAAAGGGGAGAACAGATAATCTGTGTGACTCTGGAACAGGTGGCTACAGGACCACTAAACTGAACTCAGAAGGAGAATAAATCTATAATGAATTTTATGGCTGGTTCTGACACTTCATCATTTAGAACATCTACATAAGGCTTCCCCATGATATGGATGAGGACCCAAAGGCTTCCTTCATGTGCCAAGATCTGAAAAAACACTAAGTCAATCTTCTGTTCATGACAACAGCATACATCAAATGGCCTTGGGGAAGACAAGTCTGGAAATGGAGTACTGAGGAGCATGAGATATACTACCTTGGACATTCCAAAGAATTCAGTTTCTTTTCCAAATAGGATAATTCACTAGTTTAGCTGAGTAATTTTAACTAAGTTGTATTCTATTAAGAAAAAGAAAAATAAGTTTTCATAAGCATAGAAAACACCGAAATCATTCTTTACCAAATACTATACACATGTTTTCATTTAGTGGCACAAAATTAACTCTGAGAAGCCTCAGCACTATTCAGATGTATAAGAGAGCTTCTGCATCACTTACAGATATATATTTCATATTTAGAACTTTCTAATCTTAGTTTGAAATGTTTCCAAAGTCTAAATACACACTTCAACTGATTATTCTGAAAGGGTACACCTGGGAAGAACTGTTTGCTCACTAGATCCTTCTTTAACAATTCAGATACTCAATCATCATTTCCAAAGCAAATGTTCAAAAATCAAATAAATCGCAAAACTACAAATATAATTGAGCCTCCATGAAGGAGTTTCAATCATCTGCCAAAACAGACCTGAAATTCTTAATCCCTTGTCCAAAAAAATTGGAACAAGTATTGACATTTTCCACCAAGCATGCCACATAGCCACAAATGTTTCTCATTTACTTTACCCCTAGGGCATAAAGCTCAAATAAAAAATTTCCTGAATACCCCAAATTTCAGATGCAATTTGGAATGCAAGTGATTCATAATATAATGCAGGAAACATTATGCTCTTGTCTTACCCACTCAGAGTTTCTGGAATGCAACTCTCAGGAGAGCATCCTAACCAATTAGAAGGCTGACTTTGTTTTCAGTCATGAGACCCAACTATTATACTCATTGCCCTTACTCAAATGTGATTTTGAAGCCTCAGCAATCTGTTACTACAGCTACTGTTCAAGATGTTGCCTCAAGGGAGCTAATAAGGTTCCTATTCTATACCATGACAAAAGCAAGGTAATTGTGCATCCATTCCCATTAAGAAAGGACAGAGCAACACTAAAAGAAACCAAGCTAGTGTCATTGCTTCTGCAACAAGATCTTTACAATGACCTCTGAACAGATTTAGACCCTAATTAAATCAAGAATGAAATTTCACAGAAGCTCTTGTCATAGTCTAATCCTGCCCTTACCTCAATCTCCTTCTTAAGTCATCAGTAATGTCCTGAGGGACTGCAACTGCAATCATTTTCTTTCCTCAACTCCCATTCTCTCTTAATGAAAGGAATACAATTGACATAGGGGAGGAAAAGTGGTCACTGAGTATTCCAAATGAGAATGATAACTGTGCCTGGTGAAAAGGTGATATCTAAAAACAAGATGTGCAATGTCCCCAGTGTGGAAAAAACAAAAATACAATTCACAGCAGAGTAGCATGTGCATGAGATAGGATCAAAATCAACATAACCACAACCATTTCCATTAACTAAAGGGAGATTAAAACAACATAGACAAATAGGACATTTTTCAACAAGAATTGTGGAGGGGGTCTGTGGCCCAGTGCAAAGCTCAGAATAAAGACCTTGAAAGTTGGAGCAAATGAGGGAAATTACTGAGCCTCAGAAATACCAGCCAATAGTAAGAAAGTTGTCAAGTGAAGAGATTTTTGGAAAATGTTAAACCCCATAGTCCAACACCAAGAGGGTGTGTGTGTGTGTGTTGTGTGTGTGTGTGTGTGTGTGTGTGTGTGTTTACTGTGTGTATCTGAAGTACAGTAAGGAGCAATAGATGGTTTAAAATAAATTTCTTCAGCAATTGTGACAACAGTAATATTTAAAAAGGAACAAACAGAACATGACCATTGACTTCATATGTATGAATGCTATGGGACTACATTGATGAAGAACATGAAAAAGTATAAATGTACTTGAAAAAGAAACTTATACCTGAATGAAAAAATGAATCCCTTTCGAATGTGTTTGAATCCTTATGTCAAGGGTAATCCAAAATGCTGCTCAACAATCTCGCCTATCAAAGATTCCATTTATATTATATCTTAGCTTTTTTATTAGAGTTAGATCAATGTGTCCATATAGGGAAATATATTGTTTTCCTAACCCTTATAATAAAAGAGAAATTGCTTAGCTGAAGATAGGAAATTGAATACTTGATGACTATATTTTTCATCAAATTAAACTTAATGCTGTGGATTAAGTATAATCAACACACTTGTCAATAAGTTTCTACATTTTAAGTTTCTATAAGCAAATGTCACATATAGATGAAGAACTAGATCTGTATAGACAGTTTGTGCCTGTTATTTTCCTTCTTGTTTCTGTCAGCCATGTTTTCTTGACTTCTGCAGTTCAGAGTCAGAACGAGTAGCTTTACACAGGATGAAGTAGTTTAGCATCACCATATAGTGTCCCCTAATTCTCTTGACTTTTCTGATTGATCTTTTAGGTACAGGCTCACTCTAAACCTGCCTCTTTTCCTTTTGCCTTCATTGCCATGGAGCAATTGCTAAGTTCAACTCATAGTCTGCACAAGAACCAAATGTTTTATGTGGCAATATACTACTGTACATTGAAACAGAGTTCAGAAAGACATGGTCCTACTTGTGGCAACTGTTTTTATGGCTCAGATTAATTGAGCATGCAGTGATTGGTAGCTGGTTAAAACTATGCTGTGTGCTTTTATGAAAACGGTTTTGGATGAGAGTAACATTTCAATCAGTGGGCTTGAGTAAGGAATGTTGACTCATTCAATATCAGTGGGCTCATTCAATCAGTTAAAGGTCAGAACAAAAAACAATGCTGGCCCCCTGCTTGTTCACCATAAGAGAAACACCATGTCTTCAGCTTTTTCAAAGCAGCCTTCCTGGCTCTACAGGAGTTTTTGGTCCTTGGATTCAAAATGAGACATCAGCTCTGCAGAATTTGGATTTGCCAGTATCCACTATTTCATGAGCCAAATGTTTAGAATAGATCTACATAGAGAGATGCTTAAATGTATCGAACTGGCTCTGTTTATCTGAAAAAAAATTCTCAGACACATGATCCCCATGAGTCCCAGTCAGACTGTGGGGGAACACACAAGAACAAACTGTCTCCATGAGGCCTTTCTCAAAGAATAATCCACAGCAGAGAACAGTGAACCAAAGCAACTAGCAAACCAAACTGCTATCAAAGAAAAAAAAAAAAAAAACTTCAATGAAGAAAATCAAAGTATTTAGGGCAAACTCCACCAAACACAGTATCAGATCATGAAAGTGATTGCTCCAAGAATTCCCATAAAGCCAGAGATCTGGTTTTAGCTGACAGTTCAGTTGCCTTTTCCTACATATGCTGACTACATGATTTCTCTGCTTTTATTACTTAGGTACTGTTATTTGAAGCTGATCACAGGGACATAAAATGAAGATACGGAATAGAGTTATAAGTTAATCCACTACTCTTATGGTGCACTATACGAATATGAAGGCAAAAAACGCACTTGAATGGCAGCCAGGTTCTTCCGCTCCTGAGATGGTGCCTCATGAACAAAGCGAAGCCAGTTGGAGTGTCTCGGGTTGGTAGCATCTAAAATATACAGAACTTCTCCCTTGCTCCCACGAACCTAAAACAAAACAAAACAAAACAAAAATCCATATTACTCATATTAAATTTACCAAGGGTAGTAGAATATTACATATTTTTCTGAAGTATGCAACTTTTTATTGAAAAGCATGGAATAAATGTTAAACAGCACAAATGACTTAAACATATATGTAAAGAGAGCCTACTATTTAATTTGGCAGATGTCTACATGACTCACAAGTGTCCTCAAATTTCAGAGACATATCATGTTTTCCCTGTCTTTTTTTGCAGGTATATTTGAATGTACCCGTGACAATCACAGTTGTTCAGGAGATAGTCATAACGCAATCCGTCTTGTGTCTCCATGGAAGAGAGCAGCACTGCCTTCCAATGTGAAGAGTGGAGTCAGAGTTATCTCTTCCAATTCTCTTTCCATCTGCTTAGAGAATTATCTGAAGAAGGGGGAACTGGCTGATCCAACTAGGGGTTTGTGACAGCTTATGGGACATGGGCCTTTCCAGGGGATAAGCAAAATAAATAAATAAATCTTGCTGGTCAAACATAATATTTTAATAAAGAAAGAAGTAACAGAATTAAGGGAAGGAGGAAGGGAGGAAGGGAGGGAGGGA